CCTGTCACCAAGCGGGGAACAGTTGAAGGCAGAAAGTGCTGCTCCAGGGCTCCACTGTGTCCCTTTCTCTGGTGAGGATGCTTTGGAAGCTCACACACTCAACCCACGTTCACCGCAAAGTCCTTCAGCGGTGGCAGGCTGGGAGGATGGCACCACTTGAGGTCTGGGAAGGTCTGACGGCTCTTGCCTGGCTCTTATCTCCAGGCATTATTCCAAGTCACACAAAATGACTTTTAAGTTACACAAAGTAGTTTTACTTTTGTTTGTTTATTTATTTTTTTGTTTGTTTGTTTGGTTTTTCTGAGGCAGGGTTTCTCTGTGCAGCCCTGGCTGTCCTGGAACTCAGGGATCCTCCCACCTCTGCCTCCTGAGTGCTGGGATAAAAGCTGGGAGCCACCGCCACTGCTGGACTCACTTTTGTTCCTAACACTCTGTCTCAAAACAAAACAAGCTGCCCAGCAGTCCCCTTTGCTGGGCATCACAGGTACCATGAGAAGAAAGGGTGACACGATGCAACTGAGGTACTGTCGCTTGGGGTCATCATGAAACAGTGAAAAGGCCAAGGCCCTGGGGGTATAAAAAGAGAGGCTTGATGGGCTCTTCACCGTCTCCAAGACTGCCAAATCTTGTTGAAAGTCTCAACCTGACTTCACTAAGGCCGTGTGGAAGATTGCAAGCCTCCCACCTGTGGTCTCAGCTGGGTGAGACCGCAGAAAGTCAGGTGGCCCCTCTGTTGTCCCAGGATGCACTGCAAACGGAGCCCAAAGCCGGAGAAACCTGTTATGCTAGTCATTGTGGTCCAAAGCATTTACCTCTTTTAAAAAAAAAAATCATTGTGTGCGTGCGCATGCGCATGCGCACAAGCGCTCCTGAGCATGGAGGGCAGAGGACAGTCCGTGGTTCAACCCCTCCATTATGTGAGATGCTGGACTGGATCTAGGACGTCAGCTTTTGAAGCTTTTGTGTGATGTGCTCTCAGGCGTTGTCGTGAAAGAATCAAGTCTTTTCTGCTGGCTGAGGCTAGCGGGGCCCTCTACTGAACCACTCCTCAGACACACATAAGACCTTCACAAGGTCTAGACACACATAAGACCTTCACAGGGACTCAGACACACATAAGACCTTCACAGGGACTCAGATACACATAAGACCTTCACAGGGTCTCAGATACACATAAGACCTTCACAGGGACTAGACACACATAAGACCTTCACAGGGACTCAGATACACATAAGACCTTCACAGGGACTCAGATACACATAAGACCTTCACAGGGACTAGACACACATAAGACCTTCACAGGGACTCAGACACACATAAGACCTTCACAGGGTCTCAGATACACATAAGACCTTCACAGGGACTAGACACACATAAGACCTTCACAGGGACTCAAAGCTACAGAGGATCAGATCTGTGGCCGGCCTTGTTTGGGAAGTGCTTGGGACTTCTTCTCCCCATCCAGCCACTGAGCTGGTTGTCACAATCTACTTTTCATCACACATCACATGATGGGACAATGACTCTGTTGTTTCCGCTAACAAAAGAGGACAGCTGTTCAAAACGACATTTGATTTGTGGTCAGCTCATCACGTGCCCATGTACTTGTCACCTTTCCAGCTCACTTCAAAAGCCAAACAACTGGCCAAACATGGTGGCGCACGCCTTTAGTCCCGCACTCGGGAGGCAGAGGCAGGCAGATCTCTGTGAGTTCAAGGCCAGCTTGGTCTATCTAGTAAATCCTCTCTTAAAAGCATTTGTTAGTATCTTAAAAGCCATACACAGAGATGAAGGCAGAGGCTGGCGAGCAAGCCTGATGTGTTCCCCAAAAGATATCAAGTGGGTTTCTTACTACATACACCCTGCATTCCTGCCTGGTGGCGGAGGGCATGGAGCCCACACTGTCATCTTCTCCTTCATGTTCTGAACCCTAAGAAAAGAAATTCACAGTGAGTTAAGCAGGTGGTAGCCATTCCCTTTGAACAATAAAGGACAGCAAGCTTGTCCTTAGCATGTTGGAATACTGGGCTGCAGTGCAATTTCCCACTAAAAATGACCCTGTGACCTTTTAAACCAACGTTTTTACTCCCCTACAGAAAGAAGCCAATGGGGACTCTGGTAAAAAGTGAGATCAGCCAGGCAGTGGTGGTGCACGTCTGTGATTCCCCTGAAGGGGTTCAGGACAGTCAGGGCCACACAGAAACCCTGACTGGAAAGAACAGAAAAAAAAAAAAGCGAAGCTTCACAGCGGGGTCCACAGCGGGCCCATTTGGATTTACTTGGGAAGATTCCCCGGGGTTTCTCAAAGGAATTATGCAGTGAAGATGTAATTTTTCTGACAACATCCAGCTACGTCTCATTCAGACACGTCCATGACCCACATCCTCGGGCAATGAGGGCTTTTTGAGTTTTGTAGATTTTTATGTTCTGAGAAACACACACATACACACACACACACACACACACACACACACACACACACACACCACCTCTGTGTGTCTTTGAACTACCGAGTGTGTCCATGTTTAAACATTCACACATATATATATATTCTGCCAAAAGATATCCTATTTTAGGACCGTTTTTCTGAAATGAACAGGCAACGGTTTTATGTGATTGCAGTATGTTCTGTCTGGAGTGGGATCCCCTCCCCCACCTCTCTCCCTCTCTCCTCCTCTCTTTCTGAAGAACGTCTATGAATGAAGCAGAAGTTGTTTTAGAAGTTCTAGTCTACACAGGAATCCTCTTTTTAGAATATTCTCCACAGCGATAGGGGAGTTGGAGAGCTCTCGTGTTGGAAGCGTTGGCAGTGCAGATGGGGGACAGGCAGGGGGGACACTGTTATTTTCAGGATCACTGCTGTCTGCCTCGAGGGGGTGGGTTTTTGAGGGAAGCTAGGGATGGATGTACTTGGTAGGGGACTGTCAGAGGCGGAAGGCAGAGCATATGGCCAGGACGTGAGCTGGCAGGCTGCCTACAAGAGGAGTAACGCGGCCGCTAAAACACACCCAGGCTAGCTGAGTAGACACCACAGCTCACAGAACCAAAAAGCCCAGGTAGTAGTAAAGAGATGCTTGGAAATACTGGGTGATGTTTGTTCACGAATAGGGAAGGAAATAAAGGAAGTCACGGGGGACTGTCCCCTTGGCCTACCCAGCGTGAGGGAAACGTGTGGAGGAAGTGAGACTCAGGCTAAGGTCACCAGGTCACAGTCCAGTGAGAAACCTAAGAATGAAAGCTCACCTGAGGGGGTGGAGAGACGAGCTTAGCACGAGCCAGGCTGTGGGTTTAATACCCTGGACTCTCCCCAAAACTGGTTCTTTAGACCCAACACCCACATGGTGGCTCACAGCCATCCATTACTCCAGCTCCAGGGATCCAAAGCCCTCTTCTGGCCTCCTTGGACACCAGCCCACACATAGGTCATGGATATATGTGTGTGGACAAAACAGCCATATACATTTTTTAAAAAAAAACCTTGCTGGGTAGTATTGGCACACTCCTTTAATCCCAGCACTGGGGAGGCAGAGGTGGGCAAATCTCTGTGAGTTCAAGGCCATCCTGGTCTACAGAGAGAGTTCCAGGACCTCCTGGGCTGTTACACAGAGAAGCCCTGCCTCAAACACCCGCCCCCCCCCACAAAATTGTTGGTCTTACTTATGTGCGTGCATGTGTGTGAAATTATGAGCACCGTGTGTGTGCAGGTGCCCTGGGAGAGCAGATGGTACTGGGTGCCCTGGAACTGGGGTTCCAGGCAATTGGGAGCATCCTGGTGCAGGAGCTGAGAGTAGAACCCTGTCCTCTTGCAAGAGCAGTGTCAGGGCTCTCAACCTCTGAGCCATCCCTTTAGCGCCCTGGTTTCGATTTGTTTGGGGTTTTTTTCCCTTTGTTTTGAGGTCTCACTATGTAGGTCTGGTAGGCCTGGTACTAACTATATAGACCAGGTTGTTCTGCCTGCCTTTAAAATGTTTTTTAACAGTTTTTTTTTTTCCTGTTTTTATTTTATGTATATGAGTATCGTTCCTCCACATGTCTGTGTACCCCATGCAGGCAGTGCCCGAGGAGGCCAGTAGAGGGCATCAAATCTCCTGGAACTGGAGTTGCACATAGCTTTGAACCACCTTGTAGGTGCTGGGAATTGAACCCAGGTCCTCTGCAGGAGCAGTCAGTGCTCTTAACCACTGAGCCATCTCTCCAGCCTTAAAACTGTTTTTAACGTTTTTCCTTTTTTAATATTTTTCTTTTAAAAAAATGATTGTTTTTAGAATGTGTATTGGTGTTCTGCCTATGTGTATATCTGTGTGAGGATGCCAGGTCTCTTGGAACTGGGGTTGCAGAGGAGGAGGAGGAGGAATTGTCATGGGTGTAAAGCAAACCCTATGTGAGCTTCCATGTGGTGCTGGGAAACTGAATCCGAGTCCTTTGGAAGAGCAGCTACTGCTTTTAACTGCTACACCATCTATCCAGCCCCATTTTCTTTTCTCTTAAAGATGGCCAGGCATTGTTGACACACACCTTTAATCCTGGAGACAGAGGCAGGTAGAACTCTGTGAGTTCAAGGCCAGCCTGGGCTACAGAGTGACACCTTGTCTCAGTAAATAATTGAAACTTTAGATGTTTGTTGAGCACCTGTTGGACTGCAGGTGATGCTCAGTGGGAGAGCACTTGTCTGGCAGGTGTGAGCCTCTGGGTTCTCCACTCAGTGCGTAGTACTATGAAGATGTCTTTTTTTTTTTTTTTTTTTGATAATAGATTTTTCTGTGTAGCCCTGACTGTCCTGGAATTTTAGACCTGGCTGACCCTGAACTCACAGAGATCCATCTGCCTCTGCCTCCCAAGTGCTGAGTTAAAGGCAGGCACCACTACACCTAGCCTGAGAAGTCATTTTTCACTGTACCTGCTAATATGAAGTGTATGAAGTGGTTTGGGCCCTGGTGGGCCATTGTAGGCTTTTATTTTATTCCGTGTAAATAAATAGGATGTTCTCATTTTGCCCCAAGGCACGACAGCAAGCTCAGTTACGTCACCAAATGGCAGAGGACAGCAAAGCTGAGTACTCCTCCATCCTTCAGAGATTCAACCAGGAGCAATGGGAATACTACCATACCCACATCCCCAACATCTTCCAGGTAAGCGCTCCGTGGTACTCAGTTTGTGGAGACAGGTTGCTTCTGATGTGACAGGGCCTTGCTGTGTAGCATAGGCTGGCCTGGAAATCACTGGTACCTAGGTTGACAGTCATCCTGCCTGAGCCTCCTGAGTCCTGGCCTTACCTGAGTCCTGGCACCACCACATCTGGCTTCCCAGATGTCCACTAAGTCATTTATTAAGAGTGGGTGCACCTGTACGTACGTGTGTGTTTGTGTGTGTGTGTGTGTGTGTGTGTGTGTATGTGTGTGTGTGTGCGCCAGAGATCAGTTTGGATATGTGTCTGTACCACATGTGTGCCTAGTGCCCTTGAGGATCAGAAGAGGACCTTGGGTCCCTGGAACTAGAGTTCATGATGGCTATGAGTCACCCTGTGGGTGCTGGGAATTGAACCCAGGTTCTCTGCAAGAGCCGACAGTGCTCTGAAGTGCTGAGTCATCTCTCCACTCTCCCACCATTTTATCTGAGACTGGGTCTCTCAGTGGCAGGCTGCAGAGATGGCTCTGTTAAAAATCTACTGCGCTTGTGGGAGATGAGAGTTTGGTTCCAAAAACCCACATTGTCTGCAACTCCACCTCTGGGTATCTGCCTTGGTCTTTTGGACACCTGCACACACATGGCTTATATAAACTCACACTCACACATAAAATAATAAATAAGCCAGCAAGCCCCATGGATTCTCCTGTTTGTTACCCCAGCTTTTTATACGGGTTCGTGGATCAAACTCAGGTCCTCATGCTTGTACAGTAAGCCCCTTACCTAAGAGCCATGTCCCCAGACCCCACTGCGCTGTCTCCCTAGCATGTGGATGAAGCTATGGCCAGCAATAAGAACGAAGCCCAACGCTAACTTGGGGTTCATAGTGCCTGTGTAGACGTCCTGGGTCTTCACTGTGCCCGTGGTTTGTTTTTTGTTTGTTTGTTTTGTTTTGTTTTGTTTTGTTTTTTGTGGGGGTTGATATCTTATAACTGTGCATCTTAGATGACTGCTTCCTTTTTAAAGGACACTCTGGCTACAAAAAAATGCCAGCTTTGCTTTAGGAGACAAAGCAGCATTCAGGGTGGTGGGATCTGAACAAACAAGTATTGTTTCCTTTGAATTGTTCTTTCTCTTCTTTTTAAAACCTGTGTGTGTGTGAGAGAGAGAGAGGGAGGGAGAGAGAGGGAGGGAGAGTGAGAGAGAGAGAGAGGGGTGTGTATGTGGTGTGTATTTATGTGGTTTGTGTGTATGTGTTTATGTGATGTGTATATGTATATATGTATATGTGTATGTGTATATGGTGTGTGTATATGTATGTATGTGGTGTATGTGTGTGCCTGTGTACATTATTTATTTATTTGAGACAGTTTCACAATGGACTCCTTGCTGCCTTAGAACTCACTATGTAGATCAGGCTGACCTCGAACCCAAAGATCCGCCTGCCCCTGCCTCCTGAGTGCTGGGATTAAAGGTGTGCACCACCTCACCCAGCCACCTCAGTTTTTAGAGGCAGACTCTCTCACTGATCTGGGGCTTACTCGTGTGGCTGGGCTGGCTAACTGGCCAGCACAGAGCTCGGGGAGAGCCGCCCGTGTCTCTATAGTTCCGGGCTTACTGTCGTACCCCACCCCACCTGACCCTGGCACTTTTACATGACTAGTGGGGGTTAGACTCAGGTCCTCGTGACTATGTGGCAAACACTTTAGCAACTGAGCCATCTCTCCAAGCGCCTGGATCATTTCTTTGGCTGCCTTAAGTGGTCAAAAATGTTATGAGAGACTTGGGGTAAAACGCACTGTGGAGCGCTGGTTTGTCACACTAAGCCTGCCCTTCCATCCCCAGCGCGGCAGTCAGTCAGGCAACCAATGTACAAAATAAACGCACACACACACCTGTTTTCCTTCTGGAGAATTTTGTCTGGTTTTTGCTTGTTTTTGAGACGGAGTCTTGCTGTGTATCCCGGGCTGACCTTAAACTGGTGATCCTCCTGCCTTACCCTCCAGAATGCTAGGGTTACACTTGTGGGAATCGGTTATGATTTGCGTTTCAAATGTAGAAAAGCCAAAGTAGCTGATTGAACCTAGTTGGGTTCTTGGTGTCCCTTGCCACCAATGAACCTCTAGACTGTAGAGGGCAGAGCCCCAGCTCAGCCTGGGTTACGCTGAGGTGGCTATCCAAGTGTTTATGTAAAGATGGGACGTAAAGGGAGTGCGTTGCCGAGGGTGGTTGGTGACACAGCTGGGCAGGGTGTGGGACGTGCACCTCTAATGTGACCCCCTAGCCCTTGGGACGTAGAGGCAGGAGGTCAGAAGTCAAAGCTAGCCTGGGCTACATGAAACCCTGCCTCAAAACCACAAAATAATAAACAATATCATAAAGCCCCTGGGGTGGGGTTTGTAGTCACTTTCATTGTCACTGTGATAAAATTCTCTCACAAGGCCAGCTTCAGAAAGGGTTTATTGGCTCACAGTCGAGGGTAGAGAGCATCATGGCGGCAGGGCAGGAGGTAGCTGGTCACCTGGCGTCAGCAGTTGGGAAGCAAGGGATGATGCATGCCTGCGTTCAGCTCGCTGTCTCCTTTGCTTTTAAACTTCCTGTGTTTCTATTCTGTACGTCTGAGTGTTTGGCTTGCATGCGTGAGCACCACATGGATGCAGTGCCTGCAGGAGCCAGAAGAAGGCGTTAGATTCCCCTGGGACTGGGGTTACCAAGGGTTGTGGGCCCCCGTGTGGGTGCTGGGAATCAAACCCAGGTCCTCTGGATTTAAAACAGCCAGTGCTCTTAACCAGTGAGCTATCGCCCCAGCCCCCTCTCATACATATGAAAAATGTCTTGGCGTTTGATTATGTAGTTGTCTAGTGTGTGGGTGTGGGTGGTTATGTGCCCCTGGCACAGTGCACACAGTGATCAGAGGACACTCTGCGTTCTCATTGCTAAGCCGGTTCCAGGGCTGAATTCAGGTTGTCAAGCTTGGAGGCAAGAACCCACACCTGCTGAGGTGTCTTGTGGGTCTGCTTTTTTTTTTTTTCAGTCTGGAATCCCAGCATAATGAATGATGACACCCACACTTAGAGGGGTTCATCTCACCTCTTAACTAATCAGGAAAGCCATTCATGCCCGTCCTCGGTGATTGTAGGTCCTGCCGATTGAAATCGATGTTACACGTCACAGGGGTACTACTGAAATTGCAGTGCGGTTGCTTGAAGGACTCTCTATGCAGCCCAGCCGTTCATTGAACACAGCACAGCTGGCTGATCTGTGATGGTACAATAAATCCACAGTCATGTGGACTGCAATCTGTTCCCCAGCAGTAACTGCAGGGTAACAACATCACCCCAAAACAACTTTCCCAATTAGTAGTCAACCACTTTATACACAGTCTGATTTTTGCAGAAAATACAAGAGATGGAGGAAAGGCGGATTGTACGCATCGGAGAGTCCATGAAGACGTACGCAGAGGTGGACCGGCAGGTGATACCCATCATCGGGAAATGCCTGGACGGTATAGTGAAGGCGGCCGAGTCTATTGACCAGAAAAACGTGAGTGTGGTCAGTTCCTGGGCTTCTCATGGTTCAGTCCTCTCTCTCCTCATCCCTCCAGCACCACTTCCTGGGTGTGGTTACTATGCTTTTGCACCCGGAAGCCATTTTTTGGTTTTTTGTTTTGTTTTGTTTTGTTTTTCAAGACAGGGTTTGGCTGGCAGTGGCACTAGGGAGGAAGATGCAGGTGGACCTCTGTGAGTTCAAGACAGGAGGGAACCTGTCTCAAGAAACAGGGAAAAAAAGAAAAAGAAAAAGACAGGGTTTCTCTGTATTTGTAACCTGTCCTGTAACTCATTCTGTAGACCAGGCTGGCCTAGAACTCACAGAGATCCGCCTGCCTCTGCTGCCTCCCAAGTGCTGGGATTAAAGGCGTGCGCCACCAACGCCCCACCTGAAAGCCCTTTTATGAACTCTCAGTTCCCCAATCCTTTTTCAAAAATGCACACTTAGGGTTGTCACTGAATTATATGGATTTCCAGAAAGAGACAAAGCTCTGTAGGGCACCAGGACCCAGCTGCCTGCAGAGGGCAGGATGTTTGCCACTACATGCTGGTAGTGTCCTGTTACTGGGACAGTCAGTGTCACTTTCAGATGTTGCCAAAAGTCCCCTGGAAGGCAAAATTGTCCTTTATTTAAAATCCCCACTCAGATCCCTCTGTTCACTTTTTAATTACCTCTGTAAAGAGTTCTGTCAGTCTGGTGTGTACTGCTGCCTCAGAATGTTTAAAATGGTAAATGTTTGTAGGAGAGAGCCCAAGGCAGGAGGTGGCTTGTAGTTCTGTTTTTGTTTGTGTGTCATTCTGATTGTATGGTTTCTTGCCTCCCTCCCATTTTATTAAGATGCATTATCTCTCAGCGTCCTTCAGTGACCCCAGCCAAGTTTGTAAGAAACAGTTATCAATGCTCTAAAATGAGTGGCATCCTCCCCACTCCCAGCTACACCCTGTCGGCAAGCTGCCTTCCTGGGGCGCTCAAACCATCCTTTCCTTGAGCTGGAAACTTTTTACCTGTTTTTCTCATCAGTTTTAGGTCTCTCAAAAAAAAAAAAAACTTAAAAGTCTATCCAGGCTGTCGTGGGGCACACTTTTAATCCCAGCACTTTGTAGCCTGAGGCAGGTGGATCTCTGTGAGTTCTAGGCCAGCCTGGTCTACAGAGTGAGTTCCAGGACAGCAAAGGTTACACAAAAAAAACTCTGATTCAAGAAAAAAGTAAAAGTCTAGATGAAGCTTCCTCCAGTCATTCTGTTTAAGTGCTCAGTGACTTGCCATGCGAGATATGAAAGGGGGAATCTTTTAAAGCAGAGCATCATGGGAGGTTGACAATAAGAGCTGTGCAAAGCACCTCCGGCTCTCACCTGGAGGCAAAGCTTTGTGAATGAATCTATCTAGCAGCGGACACACTAGTAGAGAGAAAAAATCCAGTCTCGGTAGGATTTTCTTGGCTTGGCCTCTGCGTGCGTTGTCGGTGCTCTGGTGTTCATGTGGCTGCTCACGGGTGTGCTTACAGGACTCCCAGCTGGTCGTCGAAGCCTACAAGTCAGGGTTCGAGCCTCCTGGAGACATTGAGTTTGAAGACTACACACAGCCCATGAAACGCACGGTGTCGGAAAACAGCCTTTCCAGCGCCAAAGAAGGCAAGCCGGAGCTCAAGTTTGGCGGCAAGTCCAGAGGCAAGCTGTGGCCGTTCATCAAGAAAAACAAGGTACTGGCAGCTCGGAACCTGTGCGGGCTGAGGTGACGAGGTGCAAAGGCTAGGAGTTTTGGTCTTAATCAAACCTAAGCTCTGTACTTCCAGAAAGCTCGAGAGAACAGTTAGCGTGCCGCGTTCACTTCGTGATTCCGACGGCCTCTCTCTGGTGGTGGTGTCTTTGCCATGGCCTCTGTCTTATCGCAGATGTGTTGTCACCTGGACTGGGTCACCCACACTAACATCACTGACCTCACAGCCCTTTCGCCCCCCCTTGGCCCTCCCAGACTGCTGGGCACCTCTGCTGGGAGCAAGGGGACAGGGTCCCATCTAATCAAGCTTGCCAGCTGGGCTTGGTTTTGAACCCATGATAACTCTGTCTCCGTGAACGTTTTCCCATTTTCGTTTTGTAGCGTGGTATGTAGGTGCATGACAGCGCTAACCCCGTGGCCTAAAACGGGATGGAGGTGGCATTACTGCATTAACCTTAGGTCAGACTGGGTGTCTGAGATTCCCAGGACAGGACTGTCCTGCTGGTTTTCCAAACCTCAGTAATGTAGGACCCCCGCCCCAATCGAGCTGTGTTAGTTAAGGTGTGGAAGCGTTTACCCCTCTGGCTTTCGGAATGACTAATGAGAGCCTTAGCTTGCATGTGGCTGTCTGCATGAGCTTTGGGTCACAAGGTTTTGCTGTCCTGTCGCATACTCACTGACCCTTTCCTTTTCATTCCCTCTTCGTGGGACACATCCTACATGATTTCTTTTGTGCCGTGGCATCGATATTAATGGTTTGTGTTTTACTTGCTTTGGATCTTGAATATGATTTGATGCTCATTTCTGTTTTGTGTCTTCTCGTTTCTGATTTTTTTTTTTACTGTCACCGCTCATCTCTCACATGTAGCTTATGTCCCTTTTAACATCCCCCCATCAGCCTCCCCCTCCTCCCCCTGCCTCTGCCTCACCCTCTGCTGTTCCCAACGGCCCCCAGTCTCCCAAGCAGCAAAAGGAACCCCTCTCCCACCGCTTCAACGAGTTCATGACCTCCAAACCCAAAATCCACTGCTTCCGGAGCCTAAAGCGTGGGGTAAGTTCCGCTCTGGAGTCCTGCGTCTCTTGCGCACTGTGTTGCATGTCTCATTCTGCATAACTGACTTCGTTTGTGAATGAACCCAGTGTGTTTTCCGATAGCATTTGGAGAGGGAGACAGCTTGAGCCGAGTTTCGCAGCAAGCCAGAGAGCAAAAGAATGGAAAGGAAAGAGCAGAGCAGGGAGGAAGAGAGGGCCGGCATGTCTGAGGTTTTATCCTCCAGCCCAGGCTGGAAGCACCCCACACTTCCGCTTCAGAGGACTGAGGTCATTCATTTCCTCCTTGCTCTCTTAAACTGACAGTGTAGAAGAAGAGGAAGTGGAAATGACTGGACAGTCAGAAAATATGTGCTGACTAATAACAGACCCCAGTGCAGCGCAGACACTGTCCCAACGAAGCCTAGTGGCAAAGAGGAAGCCGGCCAGGCACACTGGTTCCCTTGTGAGGTTAAGGGATGGTGATAAAACGCCTCTCCTCTGGATGGGGCTGATCTCTGGATGGGTGAAGCAGCCCAAATCCAAACTCAAAATTCCAAAGTGTTTTGAATGCTATCATGACACCGTGAATGGAAAATTCCACACCTGCCCTCATGTGAGAGATTGCAGCCATAACACAACACCAGGCTGTGAGTGTGGCCACAGGTGGATGTTTATATGAGGCCTGGCTTCCATCTCCAGGACCACAGAAACAAAACACAGACACCAGAAGCATGCACAAATGACATGTTCTAAAACCACACAGGTAAAGCCAAGCAGTGGTAGTGCACACTTTTAATCAGCACTTGGGAGGCAAAGGCATGCAGATCTCTGAGTTCGAGGACAGCCTGGTCTACAGAGAGAATTCCAGGACAGCCTCCAAAACAAGACAGAGAAACCCTGTCTCGAAAAACCAAAAAAAAAAAAAAAAAAGTAAAACATATGTTTAGATTTGGACCTCATTTTATATATATAGATGTCCCTATAAAGTCTGAAGCACTTGTGGTCCTGGACAGAAATTCTTGTGAGGAACACTAACCCCCACATCTCTTTGCAAAGGGACAAGGCACAATAGCAGTGATGTTTATCAAGACCGCCTCCATTCTGTTCTGGGCTTTCGAAGTTTGCTAATAGAAGCCATGGGGCCAGGGTATGAAGTCAGGGAGTCTGTGGTGCCCGGTGGGAAAAATCTCTTAGAACACAATTGCTGTTAAGACTTAGGTTCAAAACCAGGTGTGCACGCCTGTCCTAGCATTCAGAGGTTCAGAAGTTCAAAGCCATTCATGGCTACATAACAAGTTCAAAGTCATCCTGGGGTACAGGAGATTCTGTTCAAGACAAACCAACAACAAAAAGCCATCCAGTTTTCATGACAATTAAGATTATGTACCTCCCTTCCTCTCTTCTCTCTCTCTCTTTTCTTTTTTACTTCCTTTCTTGAGACAGGGTTGCCCTACATAGCCCTGGCTGTCCTGGAACTTGATTTGTAGAACAGGCTGGCCTCGAACTTCTGATCTTGGCAGGCTGCTCTCGCCACCACATCATGTTTTGTGCTGTGCTGGGATCCTCCCTCGGCAAGCGCTCTACGGCTGAGCCACAACCCCAGCACCGATTCTGGTTTTTGAGATGGTATCTCATTAGGAAGCCCAGTCTGGTCTTAAACTTAGTGGTGATCCTCCTGCTCCAGCCTCTGGAATGCTGAGGTTAGACCAGGATGCTGATTCTATGAAATGAATTCAGCACTTGAGAACAGCCACCAGCTGATGCTTCTGAGACAAATGCTCCATCTAATTAGCACGGGCTTGGAATCACTTCCTATGCCAGTGGATGCTATCACGAAACTTAGGAACTTTCCATTCACAAGGAACACTGGACCTGTCTTTGCCCAGCCACACTGCTAACCAGCAAAGTCTGATACCCAACTCCTCCAGCTCTAGGGGCAACTTAGCTCCTGGGCACCTGGGCTCCGAGAGATCCTGTCTCAAAAATAATATAAAATGATGGGCCAGTGATATGACTCAGCAGGTAAAATACTTGGAGCTAAGCCTGACAACCTGAGTTCAATCCTGATGACAGACTCAGTGAAAGGAGAAACCAAGTCCCCAAAGATGTCCACTGCCCTCCATGTGCCCACAATAAACAAACAAACAAACAAATAAATAAAATAGAGGGATAAAATTTTTAAAAGTAGGGTTCAAAAATTAAGGTTGTAGGAAGGAAGGATATATTTGAGGAAATTATTTTGCTTTAAGGCTACTTAGTATATCAATTTAAAAATCAGAAATCTGGGCTGGTGTAATGGTTCAATGGATTTAGGAGCCTGACACCCTAAGCTCAGTCTTGGACCCACATGGTGTCAGGAGAGAACCAAGCCCCACAAGTTGTCCTCCGACCCCCACATGCACGCCTTGGTACTCAAATGCTCCCCCACTGCCTGTAATCATTTTTTATTAAATCAGAAAATTTAATTTCCTAAAACTGTCAGGACAGCCACTGTCAGCAGGCAGAGTAGCGTCAGAAGTGGACGATGGATCGTGCTGAGCTCTGTTGTTGGGACTGGCTGAGCAATCGGCAGCTTCTTGGCTCGATTATGCTGGCTTTTAGAACTCCACTCTTCATCAGAGAATTTCCACGGATGTAACCAGGGTGAGCCAGGCTCAGAGTCAGTTACATCATGTTACTGCATAAATCACCCGTGTTTATAAACATCTGCATCTGTCTGGTAACACGTCGATGACACGTCAGGTCTTTTCACAGTCACCATCCGTATGCATACCTGTTCCGTGACGCCGCATCACACAGTCTATGAGTCATCACGGTTTCTGTGTCTGTGTTCATGGTGTCCCCTAAGTGTGTAGGCAGAGACCAAAGAATGTCTGTGTTCAGTTAGTACAAGAAAAGATGGTTTTAAAAAAAAAGTCTGATGTAAACCAGCAAAATGAATTTTATTTCTTACTCCTCAAATCTATGTTCGGCAAATTCCTCTTATGGAAGCTTTCCTGGATGGTAAGTGCCTTCTCCCAATGACAGAGAACCCACTAGAACCTTCTATGGGGGCGTGGAGAAGAGCTTTGCCTCCGTCGCTCGTCATGAGCCCTCGGGGTCGGATCTGATGCTTTTTCTAGCTAGGAGGGGTGGGGGGGAGCAAGAAAGGAAAGGGGAACACTAAGCCTTTGGCAACATCATAAACTCAAAGCCTGGGGAACCAGACCAGGTATGCAGCAGCCCCACTGGGTCCATGACCAACACAGTGGAGTCCTGGCTTCCATTTTGCCTTCTCTTGTACTTGAACTTGAGACTGGCGCCCCTGAGCAGAGGTGCCTCAGGGAGGGCTCTGGGAGAACAATTGCAAGTGCGGCATGTCCTTGCTTTGTTCTAAGTGTCTGCTTTAGTGATTAGAGTGGAAACTGTGTGAAACCATTCCTTTCTTTTCCTTCTCTCTCTTTTTTTTCTGGAACAAACCACCACACCTGGATCAATGTGCAAACATTTCTTAGCATAGCTTAGTTTATTTCTGAATAATTAAAAAAAGACTAAATATTGTTATTGCAAGCCATTTTCTAAGGGTTTTTTTTTTTTTTTTTTTTTTTGGTCTTTCAAGACAGGGTTTCTCTGTATTGTTTTGGAGGCTGTGCTGGAACTCGCTCTGTAGACCAGGCTGGTCTTGAACTCACAGAGACCACCTACCTCTACCTCCTAAGTGCTGGGATTAAAGGCGTGTGCCACCAATGCCCGGGCTACCACCAGACCTTAGTATCCCATCTTTACATGAGTCCAAAAAAAAAAAAAAAAAGACAAGTAGTGAGAGTGTCTTCAGAGCTGGGTATAGATGTACATACCTGTGATGCCAGCCCCTAGGAGGTGAGAACTGGAAGATCAGGAGTTCAAGGTCATCCTCATTACACGTGGAGTTTGAGGCCAGGGGAAGCTACATGAGAGGAAAACCGAAGGAGTATGGGGGAGACAGAAATTGACACATGGATGGATGGCAGATAGGTAAATGATAGATGAAAGATAGATGTTAGATAGATGATATATAGAAAGATAAATAGATGTTACATAGACTGATGAATTGATAAAGGTTGATTGAGATAGATGATAGATAGACAGACAGACAGACAGATAGATAGATACTAGGTAGCTAATAGATGATAGATAATGATGGTTAGATAGATGGACGGGTAGGTAAGAACATGTGCTGAATTTGACTCTGCAAAGGGTAATTGTCTTAAATGAAGATTTCCTTTTGCACCTGTGCAAAGCAATTGTCTACCTAAAACGAGATGATCCCTCCTGTATTTTAAAGGTGACCTTAGGAAACAGCACCCAAGCAGAGCCAATACTTTGGAAATCTGTTGTGAGTTATGATTGCGCAGTTCCTTCTTTATATATATCTTACCTTATTCTCTTGCTGACTGTTGACAGACTCAGTCTTTGTGTTATCACAAAGAGCTCATGAAGAGGACTCTAGGGAAACCCACGCATGCCTTCGAGGCTAGGGACTATGTTGTAAGTCTGCCTGTGCTGCAAGTATGCAGTCACAGCCAAACCACTAACCCCACGGACAGCGCCAAGACTGGGGACACAGGTGCAGCTGGGACACTTGCATCCCACTGATCAAAATTCTCAACAGAGAGAACTGCGCCCTGGGGCGAGGACAGGGTCTTGAGGTATAAATCCAACAGCTATTTTATCACAGGCTCCTTAGTGGACATCCAGTGCCCCAGGGATGCCCACTGAGTGAGCTCGATGTCAGGATGCCCCTCTCAAGAGCCTGCAGCTGCCACCTAAAATGTCTGTGGTGTCCCTGGATATGAGTTTATGGCAGAAATTTACCCATAAACACAGCTGCAGAATGTAGTCACCAGAGAGAGACAGTTTAGGGCATGACGACGTGACCATGCAGGGATCCACCTCTGTGTTTGCAGCCGGTGGGTCCCTCGGGAGTCATGCATGAGCGTGGAGAACAAGAACTCAACAGTCGGGAGCAGAGAGGGTCCCTGTAGACGGCACCAAAAAGCGTGCACCTTGGCACTTACCGTCCCCTCTCTTTGCGCTTGAGGTTAGTAGCTGTGACCGTCCAATGACACATGGACGAGCTGGCTCTGTCTCGTATTGATGCCCGCTTCTCCCAGAGCCCCTAACTGTCGCCTGAAGGTGTGTGGTCCCTAGTGTCTAGTCACACACTCCATGAGGCCTTTGCCTTTATTCTCCTAGGAGAAGGCTGGCTGTCTAATCGGGAGTGACCTAATTGGCTGACTTACGACTTACAAGCTGAGAAACACTCAGTCATGCTTAAAGAATTCCAGACGCCGCAGTGGTGCCTCTGGCCGGTGGTCTTTCACCACCCGCTCCAGAAAATGGAATGTGAGAGTTTTGGTGTTTCCAAAAACTGAGTGTGAGTGTCTCTGTTGGAACAGAGGTTCAGTTTTACTGATTTGTTCTCATTTTGAAGTGGTGACCTCCTATTGACATGACAAGTTTGGCTCTAGGAGATTTCTATCATAGTCTCAAGTCACGAAGGGAGCCCTGTAGAGAACAAATAGTCAGGTTCTTGGAATTCACAGTAAGGTTGTGTGTGAGGAAACCTTACCGGTGTCCCCTCGCGTGCTTTGTGGACGTCCCCTGCTCTGCACGCTGAGTGCTGTCTGTCTGACGACAAGCTCCGCTTGTGATGGGCAATCTGTGCGGAGGCTCCAGGGGGCTCAGCGAGTTCAGGGCCACGGCCTGTGCCAGTTTTGAAAAGCTGTCTAGTCAGTCTCTTCCTTCACGTGGGAAGGGTTTCTTTCTTTTCTCTAAAAGGTGTTTACAAAGAAGTGTCAACCTTGTTTTTTGTTTTGTTTTGCTTTTGAGACAGGATTTGTGTAGTCCGGGCTGTGTAGAGCAGTCTTCTGTCCCCTGAGTGTGAGTCACCAAGCCTGGCCAGAAGTACCAACTTTAAATAATCTTGAGGGAGGAAAGTGTAAGAGTTGGCTGAGAAGTTTTAGCCCCTCTCTACCTAGCATAAAAATCCAAGCTTTCTCTGGTGTTTGTCCTCCAAGTATGTCTGCAGCCTACTGTCAGGGCTAGGGCCTTCTGCAATGCTAGAGACCGAGTCTGTCATGCGTTGAACTCTCCCTCGACACACAGTGTGGTCTCACAGAGTCCTGCTTCTGTGTGGGTTCTCGAAGCCCTCTTACTATGGCTGGAGGCCTGTGGTCATGGGACCTTTCTCATCTCCAGGCCAGCCGTCGTGAAGCTGTTGTGGCCCTACAGTGATCGGGTCACCCAACCCCAGCAGCACCCTCGGAGCCAAGGCCATGTCTGCCCATACCCTAAAGGCAGCAACATCAGCTGCTGTTCATGGTCACTCTCCAAATGCTGTGTAGCCGCCTGGACAGGCTTGGAGTTCAATAGCAAGCCCTCACATCACCTGTATGGAGTCCCACTGCTCAGGAGCCTGTGGCCATCCTGAGCTCCACAGCACCAACCAAAGCTCCCCGAAAAGAAATCAATTAATTTTGAAAAAGACCAAGCCACAGAAGTCCCCCTCATGGTCTAGGAGCCGGAGCTGGTGTGCAGGGGGAGGCTGCATTGCCTGGGTCACCTCCAGTCTGCTGCCAAGAGGGTTTCTAGCTTCTGACCTCCACATACATGCTGCGGCACATGCACACATGCCTGTGCACACACGCAGTCAGTCAGCCAGTCAGTGTAAGGGGTGTGCTGGAGAGATGGCACCTCGGTCAAGAGACTTGCCACTCTTGTGGGGGACCAGAATTCTACTCCCAGCCCTTAAATGTCAGCTTACAACCCCATATAACTCCAGCCCAAAGGTTTCATTGCCCTTTTTTGGCCTCTGCAGGCACTATGCTCGTGTGCTGGGATTAAAGGTATACACCACTAACACCTGGATAGTTTTTATGTTTTTTTTATTTTTTTGGTTTTACGAGACAGGGTTTCTCTGTATTGTTTTGGAGGCTGTCGGTCCAGCCCGGCCTCGAACTCACAGAGATCCGCCTGCCTCTGCCTCCCGAGCGCTGGGATTAAAGGCGTGTGCTACCACCGCCTGGCCCTAGTTTTTATTTTTATAATAGTTTTTTTTTGGGGGGGCCAGGCGTGATAGTGCATACCTTTAATCCCAGGACTTGGGATGCAGAGTCAGGCAGATGTCTGTGATTTTGAGGCCAACCTGGGCTACAGAGTGAGTTCTAGGATAGCCAGAGCTGTTATACAGAGAAACCCTGTCTTGAAAAAAAATGTTTTTTTAATAAAAAAAAAACCACAAAACCCTAAATACCCATGTGTGCAGGGTACTTACCCATGTGCCTATGACCCCAGCACTCAGGAGGCAGAGGAGAAGGCTTTCTGATAATTTGAGCTCATCCCAGTCAGGCTGCACATTGGGTAACCCTGTCTCAAAAATAAAATTTTAAAAGGAATCTGCGTCGGATGTCCTAGGGGACATTTGGTAAACAAAGAGCTGTGCGGTTCTTGTCCTTTTGGGGTCATTATGTGTCATGGCTATGCCTAGCAGGGTTAAGGTCTGTTCCCAGCATCCATTCCAAATCCCGTCCCCAGCAAGCTGATTTTCATAGGCGTCCAGTGGGAGGCGACAGAGAGCGCTCACCTCTCACACCTTGTCTTGGCTTTGGCACCCAAGCCACCTAAGAAGTCTGTTACGACCAACCCCTCCTGTGAACTTTTGCACAGATCTGCCCTGGCCATATTCACAAGTCAGCAGGCGGGCTGATGTCATGCGCCCAGTGAACTGGCCTCTTCTGACCTGTGTTTTTTTTCTCTCTCTCTTTCTCTCTTCCCGTTTGTTACCTCTTCAATTTTTCCATGAAGCTTTCTCTCAAGCTGGTAAGCAAAACGTACCCCATGCATGCCCTTAGTCTAATCGGGTTTCTGGTGTGTGTTACTTTGTTACAGATGCTATGCCTCCAACGTTAACTGCTCACACTCTGTTCTCCTTCAGGCGCTTTTGTTGGTGTCTGTTTGACCTCTGGATATGTGACTGTCTTATTCACTAAGGAAATTAATGCTTACCATGATTAATGCTTACCATGAAAACTAATGATTACCATGGGAACTTTATGACTATGCCAAGCATTGACCAACTACTTATATTCGTCAGAAATGGGGGGGGGGTTCCTGCTGAATCAATTTAAGTAGTTGGAAGATACTCCTTCATGGGAGCCACTAAAGAAGACATTCGGGAGGCAGAGGCAGGTGGATCTCAGTGAATTCCAGGTCAGCCTGGTCTACAAAGTGAGTTCCAGGCCAGCCATGACTATTTGGAGAGAACCTGTCTCAAAAACAAAACAAAGTAAAACAAAACCAAACAAACAAAAAACCACCACCACAACAACAACAAACAAAAACTGGGAGCCTGAAGGAGACACTCGGGTGTGTGTCACGCCTGTAATGACTGCTTGGATTTGGGGTAGGAAAGACCAATGGGAAGCGAGGGACCTCCTGGGGGCCTGCACAGCTCTGTGGATGCCTTGGGTAAAGGTGATTCCAGAGGCACAGACGCTCTGACGGACAAAGGGAAGCCCCTCGTGCATCCTTGCTTAAGCTGTCTACCTAACGTCTGTCTGTCTTGCTTTTCCTTCACGGTGTAGCTCTAGTGAACAACCAGAGTAATTGTTCGATTTATTGAAAGAAAATCCTAACCAACATAAGCCACTATACTTAGAGAATGAATGAGGACTGTGTATCCTTTGGGGACACAGATCCTTCACCAGTTTGTGAGTTAAGTTGTTGCTTCCATGCCATTCCTTTGAAGTCAATGAAAAAGTGAAACATGGTGTGGGGGGGGGCAGGGGCCGGGGTAGTCTAGAGATGCTCGGTGGGTAAGAGCGCTTGCCCTTGCAAGCATGAGGGCTCCAGCGTAGTCCCAGCACCGAGGGGCGGAGAGAGGTGAGTTCTAGAGGAAGTGCACTGGACAGCCGGTCTCTGGAAAGCCAGCCTCCTTACAAGGCTGCCATGTAGAGAGCAAGGAAGACAGCTGGTACCTGCTGGAGTGACGCCTTGAGTAAACACACTCGCCCGCACACTCACGCGCATGCGCGACACACACACACACACACACACACACATACACACACACACACACACATTAGGTAGGAAATGGGTTCGGTATACAAGCAAATAGCTCGAGGGTCTGTGTTACCCAGGACTTGTGCCCAGGAGCGATGTAGGTGCCATCCCGAGATGAAGCAAGGCTGACTACCCAGCCCCTTCAACTTGGGTGTGTGTGGCCCCACCTTCCTCGGCTGGTTCCACCATTCTGCAAACTGGGCCACTCCAGCCACGTCAGAGACATCCCCGCTGACTCAGAGCTAGAAACCAGTGCCCTGTCTCCATAAAATGAGTCACGTGTCAGAGCCTTGTTTGAGGAAATGTAAACTTCAAAAGCCTAATTGGGTGAGACGCCCTTTCTACTGATCCTAGGTTTTTATGGGAAGCTGTTGACCTGAATCTCCATAGTAACCAAGGTTTGAGGCTTTTCCAGTGACTTGTTTTCAAGTAACAATGGTGCTTGAATAGCCAGGGTAGCTATTGAAAGGGACCTGACAGGTCAGTTAGGTTGATACTTTATCAATTGAAGATAATGTGTGGGTCAGTTAGGTTATTTTGTCATGTTGTCATAAGTAACCAGTGCTGTCTCTTCTGTAACTAGTCACAAGTGTTCCTTACAGGTGTCTCTGCCATTTAGATGCCATCCAAGCCTTGCACCTCTTCTAAATACATTCAAAAGACTCAGGTCACCACTAAACCAGCTACGTTCAAGGGCAGGCAGTCTCCTGAAGCTACTGCCCCCGACACTGAATGCTAGAGGTCTCTTTGGTCACTGACCAGACTGCCTCACTTCCACAGACTTGTATTGAATTTTGTTACATCCCAGAAAAACAAACAAACAAACAAACAAACAAACTCCCAAAATCTCAGCGCTGGGAAGATTGGTCAAAGGTAAAAGTATTTGTAAGCCCAAGCATGAAGCTTGAGTCTAAATTCCCAGAATCAATGTAAGAGCTCTGCACCCAGCAGGCATGTCTGTAATACCAGTGCCCTGTGGAGAGATTGCATATACAGTGGATAAACAGCCTAGAGACCCTGTCTCAAACAAAGTGGAAGATAAGACCCCCCCTAGGGTGTGTGTGTGTGTGTGTGTGTGTGTGTGTGTGTGTGTACGCGTGCACGCACATGCTCACGTGTGTACAATACAATCTCAGTCTAGGAAACAAGTATCAGGATCACCAAGATGGCTCAGGGGGCAGGGGTACTTGGTGCTAAGCCTGATGACCTTGAGTTCCATTTCAGAAACCCACATGGTTGAAAGATGGAGCTGACTCCCACAGATTGTATAATAAATAAAAACTGCATAGACAGATTTTCCTCCAAGTTCAATGCTTGAATAGAGTGACTATAAAGTAAGACACTGAAGTCTTCAGATAGTGGGCATGGGAGAGAGAAACTGCCTCAGCTGCTGCCACACTGAGGGACCACCTTGCTGCTGCTCGTCTTTGGGCCCTCGCTTGGCTTGGTGACAGAAATGCCTCCCTCCTCTCCCCTCTACCGACCAACCTACTGACTGTCACACACACTCAGGGTGTCTCGACTCTGATCTCCTCATGGCCTGAGGCAAATATTTGCTGACTCACACACTTACCAGCCTAGCCACCTTCCTCTTAATCAGCCTACAAACTTCTGTCACAAGCCCCTGAGAAGTTTCTGTCACAAGTTCCCAAGTAAGCCGCTTGGCAAATCCCAGTGGATTCCAGAATCGCATTCTCTGGGCCCCCTTTCTTCTCGCCCCCTTGTTTGAAAAGAATTGAGGTTTTCAAGTAAAATCTCTCTTGTAAATTTCCTGGCTTTCCCTGGGCCTGTTGAATACATTTCATTCTTTATGAAAACAGCCTCATTTAAGGAAAAGCTCTGGACTCTCCAGCAATGAGGCGGTCCTTGGAGGGAGACCAGCTCCTGACATCTCCAAAAGCACATACACAAAGGCAGAGTGCATTTAAAGAGAGCCCCAACCAGGTGTGGAGGCTCGTACCTGCAGTCCCGGCTCAGTCTGAAGGACTCCTTCCACGGCAAGGCGAAGCCCGTGCTAAAACCTGAAAGTGAGGGAATGAGGAAAGGTGGCTCAGTAGTTAGAACGTGTTGCTCTTCAGTGGACCCAAGTTCCCAGCACCCATGTGGTGTGGCTCACAACCACCTACAACTTGTTCCAGGGCAATCTCATGCCTTCTTCTGGACTCCGCACACACAACTTTAAAACAAAGTCTTTTAAATTGGAGAAGGGGGCCAGGAGCCAGATGTGGTGGTTCACATGCATAATCTCAGTACCTGGAAAACCAGGGCAGGAGTGAGTCTGAGACTTGTAGCCCAGTGGTGAAATGTTTGTCCCAGGTTCAGCCCTGCAGAAAAAAAGGGGGTGGCATTAAAACACATTCCTGACAGTAAAAGGAGGTTGGTTTTGTACACTGGGAAGTAATTTTGGGGTCCCAAAGGCAATGAGGGACCAGTAACACTGGAGGGGGATGAATGACTTTTTAAAATCATACTTTCACATTTTTTTCTCAAAGGAAAGTGATAGCCCACATGTCATTTCATAGGGGTGGGGCGTGGGAACTCCACCTCAGCCTTGAGGGGGGAGATGGGAAGGAATGCTCCCACTAAGGGAGGAGTTGAGGTGAAGAGAAGAGGGAAATGGAGTAGTCTTCTCTAAATTTGTCTGTGGGCTGCCTCCCCAGTCACACCTGTTTCCTCGTCTCTCCTCCCCGGAGTGCAGTTGCTCCTGGCCTCTCCTGCGCTGCTCTGGCCCTTGTAGATGACAGGACTTCTGACATTTGCATGTGTTTGGTTTTCACACCTCAGCTGGAGTGGTGGGAAAGCAGAGCTGGCTCTGGGAAGCCTCTGCAGGTCTACAGGCTTTGTTTTTGCCTCCCTCCTGCCCAGGGACACTGCAAAGACTTTGCAGCTCCTCATTCTCCTGTTTGTGTCTGCAGGGTGCCACACCAGAAGACTTCAGCAACCTCCCCCCTGAGCAGAGGAGGAAAAAGCTGCAGCAGAAAGTTGATGAGCTCAATAAAGAGATCCAAAAGGAGACGGATCAGAGGTAGGATGGGTCACTGTACCCTGTCAAACATCCTCAGCTGGGAAACAGAAAATCTGAAAGAGTGTGTGTGTGTGTGTGTGTGTGTGTGTGTGTGTGTGTGTGTAGTACCCAAAGAGACCAGAAGGGGGTGTCAGAACTCTTGAAACTGGAGTTACAGGCAGTTGTGAGCTACCAGATACTGGTATTGGGAACCAAACTTCGGTCCTCATGATAAAGCAGTTCTTATTCTTAAATGCTGTGTCATCTCTTCAGCCTCTAAAATGGACAGAGGTGTTACTTTGGCAGGTGTTTTGTCTGCTTTCTCATTGTGTGCTGGGTTTCTCTATAGCAGAGGTTGTATGTTGAGTCTGGGGAACAAAATACCCTTTACTAGCTTCCCTATTTCTCTTTTGGCCTGAGTGAATGGGTGTGCTTTGGTTTCTCTGATCCAGCCAATAGTAGGAAGATTATTGGGGTCCCAGGGTCCTGGGCTGGATAGACACCCTCAGATCCTCTCACCCTTGAGGTACAGATGTGGTTTGGCTGTACTTCTGGCAGCAGTTGAGGCATGGGGCGCAGGTGTTTGTAGCTCCGTTGTATTTCTGAGCAAGCTGGTGAAGGGATGGTTCAGTTATGCCAAGATGCAGGCACAACACCAGGTACAGGGTGGACTCTTTTCTGGATGTCACAGTCGTCCAGTATCAGCCCCTGTTGGTCCAGAAGGATACCTTTCTTGTCTTGAATCTCTGTCCTGACATTCTCAATGCACCTCAAGGGTGAAGTTCTGTATGTTAGCATCCGTTAGGTCTCCTCAATATGGGCTGAGGCGGGCAGATCTCTATGAGTTCAAGGCCAACCTGGTCTACAGAGCAAGTTCCAGGACAATACAGAGAAACCAAGTCTTAAAAAACAAAACAAAAAACACAAACATGGAAATCTTATGTGTTAATGTAATATCCTGAAAATGTGGTATTTGTTTTGAGAATGTATTTAAAAAAAACAAACAAACATTAAAGCTGTGGTTGTTGTGGAAAGAAATTCACAGCTCTTGATGCATACTCCAAAGATAAAAAGATAGATGTAATGGGACAAGTCTACTATCCCATCACTTAGAAGGCTGAGGCAGAGGGTCACAAGTTCAAGGCCAGCCTGAGCTAGATTATGAGCCCCTATCTCAAAACCAATAGAAACAAACATGGCTCAGCTGTTGAGAGTACTTGCTGTTCTTGCAGAAGGCTGGGATTCAGTACATAGCACACAGGACGGGTCACAACCACCTGTAACTTAAAAAAATAAGTTAAATCAGCTGGGCATGGTGGTGCACACCTTTAATCTCAGCACTCGGGAGGCAGAGGTAGGTGAATCTCTGAGTCTGAGGATAACCTTGTCTACAGAGTGAGTTCCAGGACAGCCAGAGCTACACAGAGACCCTGCCTTGAAAACCCAAAAGAGAAAACCATGGTGTTCAACAAAGGACCTACAGACACAAACATGTGGTTCCTTAAGGACATCAGTAAGATTCGGGCTGGGGAGGCAGACCAGTGGGTTCCTGCGCAAGCGTGAAGAGCTGAGCTCTGGTCCCCACTGCCTGTGTAACTGCCAGGCACAGTGCTACAGGTCTGTAGCCCATCGCCAGCCAACCGGTGAGAGACAAGGGGGAGTGGCTGGGATGGTGGCTCCACACTTGTAAGCCCTCGCTGTGTAATCAGAGAGCAAAAGTTCAGATTCCAGCACCCCATAAAACATGTCCAACATCCCACAAACGTCTCTAACCCAAGCTCCAAGGCGGGCGGTCGACAGGATCTCTGGGCTCGCCTCAGAGGGGTAGGTGAAGAGTGAAGAAGACACACGCTGTCTCTGTGGCCTCCCACAGGCATGCTGACCTACACACTCTCCCACACAGATAAGTAAGTGGATAAACAATGGCTCTTAAAGAAAGGAGCAGATGGACTAGAGACAGATGAAGACACCCATTGTAGCCCGCATGTGCACACACACACACACAACACAGTAAAATCAGTCAACTTTTTTTTTTTTTTTTTTTTTTTTTGGTTTTACGAGACAGGGTTTCTCTGTATTGTTTTGGACCCTGTCCTGGAACCCGCTCGGTAGACCAGGCTGGTCTCGAATTCACAGAAATTCGCCTGCCTCTGCCTCCCGAGTACTGGGATTAAAGGCGTGCGCCACCAAGGCCTGGCTAAATCAGTGAACTTTTGAAGAAATTAACCAGAGGAGACCATGAGGAGAAGGGGTGCTCTCATTAGGTAGCCCAGGCTAGCTTCCAATTTGAGCTCTTCCTGCCTTGGCCTCCTGATGCTGGGATCACCTGTGTGTATCACCAAGCCAGCAGGGTAATGGCTATTACTCAGGCCTCAGTCTCCATGTTGTTCCTATTCTTTCTCAGGGACGCCATCACCAAAATGAAAGACGTGTACCTAAAGAACCCTCAGATGGGAGACCCGGCCAGCTTGGACCACAAACTCGCTGAAGCCACCCAGAACATAGAGAAACTGCGGCTAGAGACGCAGAAGTTTGAGGTGGGGAACAGGTGCTAAGGAAGGAGCAGGAAGGGGAAGGTGCCTCCGGGGACCCCATCTCCTGCCCCCACCCCCACATTCTCAGTGCTGGGCTGTGTCCCTGGAGAGGAAAACCACCCTACTGATATGCCTGGGGCCGTGGGGTTTCCCAGGGTGACCTCAGAGCCACGGGATTGAGTCAGAAGGAAGTATAGTGTAATTTATCTGTGATTACATGGCTGCCCAAGAGTGTGGCCCATCCACCATGTGGGGATGACTGGTAAATTTGGTAAACAAGGGCCTCCCTCCCCCTCTCCCAGCTTTGCAGGAGAAGGAAGCAGTTTCCAAGGAGCCCACATGTATAGCCAGCCAGTGCAGGCCTGAGACATCAGCCACGCCTTCATACATCAGTGACTGTCCAGCCCTCACTTAAGGCCTGACAGCTCATGATTGAGCCTAGGCTAGCCCAAGCCCAAGTCTTCTGTGGATTTTGCTTCTAGGCCTGGCTGGCTGAGGTGGAAGGCAGACTCCCAGCACGGAGTGATCAGGCTCGCCGGCAGAGTGGACTGTACGACGGTCAGACACACCAGACGGTCACTAATTGCGCCCAGGACCGGGAGAGGTACAGTACCTGTGAGGCCCCGCCTCAGCAAAGGGCCTTCTGTCTGGCTTTGTAATTAGGTCTGGATTCTGGACTCTCTCATAAGGCTAGAGCGTCTGTTTCCACCCCCTCTGATGCTTCCCACATGAAAATGTCTCAATTCACCATCCAGTCCAGGCTGGTGATCTGAGGTGGCATCGCCCGTCGCCGGTGGGGACAGCCCTACACCTCCAGGTTGGTCGCTATAGTTGCTGTGTGTCTTCCTCTCTTGAGCAGCCCAGATGGTAGTTACACAGAAGAGCAAAGCCAGGAGAGCGAGCTCAAGGTGCTGGCCACGGATTTCGACGATGAGTTTGATGATGAGGAGCCGCTTCCTGCCATCGGGACCTGCAAAGCCCTCTATACATTTGAAGGTACTGCTGCCCACGCGGCAGCTTCTGCCTTCCTAAACTGACTGGGCGACCCTCTCTGTCTCTCTCTCTCTCTCTCTGTCTCTCTCTCTGTCTCTCTCTCTGTCTCTATACATTTGAAGGTACTGCTGCCCACGCGGCAGCTTCTGCCTTCCTAAACTGACTGGGCGACCCCTCTCTGTCTCTATACATTTGAAGGTACCGCTGCCCACGCGGCAGCTTCTGCCTTCCTAAACTGACTGGGCGACCCCCTCTCTCTCTCTCTGTCTCTCTGTCTCTCTATACATTTGAAGGTACCGCTGCCCACGCGGCAGCTTCTGCCTTCCTAAACTGACTGGGCGACCCCCTCTCTCTCTCTCTGTCTCTCTGTCTCTCTATACATTTGAAGGTACTGCTGCCCACGCGACAGCTTCTGCCTTCCTAAACTGACTGGGCGACCCTCTGTCTCTCTGTCTGTCTCTCTGTCTCTCTATACATTTGAAGGTACTGCTGCCCACGCCACAGCTTCTGCCTTCCTAAACTGACTGGGCGACCCCCTCTGTCTCTCTGTCTCTCTGTCTCTCTGTCTCTCTGTCTCTCTGTCTCTCTGTCTCTCTGTCTCTCTCTCTCTCTCTCTCTCTCTCTCCCTCTCTCATACATATGTTAAAATCATAGAAAACTCATTGATTGATTAATTTTATGTGAATGGGTGTTTTGCCTGCATGTGTGTGTGGGAACCATGTTAGTGCCTGTGGAGGCCAGAAGAGGGCGTCAGACCCTCTGCAACTGCAGTTATAGATGGTTGTGAGCCACCATGTGGGTGCTCGGAACCGAATCCCTGTCTTCTGCAAGAACAGCCAGTGCTCTTAACTGCTGAGTCATCTCTCCAGCTCCAGTAAAAGAATTTTTAAATAAATAAACAAGATGGAAAAATAATCAATAATCAACCTCTACCCACCATACACAATACACTCTCACACACAAACACACACACTTACATACACACACAAACATACACACATACACACACTTATACACTCACTCACACTTATATACACACTCATACCCACACAAATACACACACTTACACACACTCACATACAAACACATACATACACACTCACACTTGCACTTACAAACACACTCACACACAAACACACACACTCATGCTTATATACGCATTCACACACAAACACATTCATTCACATACAAACACACACAAACATACACTCACATGCACACAATCGCATACGATACACTCACAATCTCACAACGCTATACACACATGAATACTTTCATACACACGCATGCTCATACAATCTCTCTCTCTTTCACAAACACACATAGAAGGAAAGTAGAGACCTGGGTGAGATAAAGAAGTGTTAGTTTTCCTTGACCCACTCTGAGATGCTGCTGACAGGCGCCATTGTCCCCTGTGTGGGATCAGCAGGAAACAGGGCGGGCCATCATCGCATGCCTGTATCCTGTGTACCAGGACATGATGCTGCCCAGAGTTACAGAGGATGCTATGAGAGAAAGTCAGGGCTCAGGGAAATGGGAAGCTCTAGGGTGAGTCATCTGACAGCTCCTACAGGATTCTCAGTCTTTGGGGCCCACATAGCAGGGGGTGTCACCCCGCCCCGTGTCATTCTGTTGCTGTGATGAGACGCCCTGACAGCGAGCAGCTCAGAGGAGACAGGCTTCATGGTAGCTCACAGTTCCAGGTCCCAGTCATCACCGCAGGGATCCAAGACGGGAACTGACACAGCTGCTCATGCACACAGCCAAGAGATGAAGGCACATGCTACGCCAGCTTCTACCTTTACACAGAATCGGACTCTCAGGTGCCACCCACCTTCAGGGCGGGCCTCCCCACATCAGTTATGGTGGCTAAGACAGACTCCCACAGGCCAGGCAGTGGTGGCGCACGCCTTTAATCCCAGCACTGGGAAGCAGAGGCAGGTGGATCTCTGTGAGTTTGAGGCCAGCCTGGTCTACAAAGGGAATTCTGGGACAGTCAGGGCTACACAGAGAAACTCTGTCTTGGAGGAAAAAAAAAAACAAAAACAAACCAACAACCTCCCATAGACAGGTCCACAGTCTACTCTGCTGTACAGTTCCTCACTGACCTCTTCCCAAGTGGCTTTAGGTTGGGTCAAGCTGACAAAACTAACCATCACACACTCCCAAAGCTGGCCTCGAGGTGTGGTTGACTTTTAAATGACCTTAGAGAACTGTCACCAAAAAGAAAAAGAAAGAGCACGGGCTGCTCTTCCAGAGGACCCAAGTTCAATTCCTAGCACCCACATGGCAGCTCACACCTGTCTGTAACTCCAGTTCCAGCGAACCCAACATCACTGGCAAAACACCAATGCACATAAAATGTATATAGGAAGAGAGAGAACTGTCTGGGGGCCGTGGCTAAGGAGAAGACACAGCTGTATAGTGACTGACAGAGCTGAGCGGAGAGGAGGAGAGCCAAGGCTAGCCCAATGGCTCATCCTTGGTTCCTTGGAGATACCCTGGGGGAAAGAACAGTAGGAGTATCCCAGTGAACCCAGATCTCCTGAGCTGAGTTCCCAGGGTCTAGGGACACCAAGAGGGAACAGCCCTAGAGCCAGTAGGAAAAGTAGAACCTTGACTTCAGAAAATGCCAGAAGGGAAAGAGATGAGGGCCCTGCTAGAAGGTGCTGTGGAAGCTAAGGGTGGACCCCACCCGACCCTGCCCCAGGAGAAACCCTGAGAGGAGTGACCTAGAGGAGTAGAGATTCACCACGACCTGTGGGGAGGTGTGTGTGGGCTCCTCAGGGGATCTAAGGAAGGGTCCTCAGACAGGAGAAGGAACCTAGAGATACACGTAAGGAAGGAAATCATCGGGTAGTGCAGAGGACCCTCCCTCGCCTCCCAATATGTCCCCCCAGCACTGCCTGAGGAACCTCACACCTCACTTTTCTTCTTCAGGTCAGAATGAAGGCACCATTTCCGTGGTAGAAGGAGAAATGCTGAGCGTCATTGAGGAGGACAAGGGCGATGGGTGGACTCGTATCCGCAGAAATGAAGACGAGGAGGGCTATGTCCCTACCTCCTACGTCGAAGTCTATTTAGACAAAAACGCCAAAGGTGCTAAGACTTATATTTAATCCACTTAAAACCAAACAAACCCTTTAAAGGCACTGGAGTTGTCTCTCCCCACCACTTTGGCTGTTATAGGCCTTCAAGAGGCCAGCAGAGAGCAAGTGACACAGACACTTGGGAAACTGGGCCACCTCGTGCCTGAGTTTGCTTGTCCAACCTGACTATGTGCAGAGCTGCCACCGGCCTGCTTACAACTGTGTCGTTTGAAATCTGATCAGTGTTTCTATTCCTTCCAACAAATATGTAGGTTTTTAGACTGTATGGTGGTTCATGTCTATAGCCCTAGCACTCAGGAGGGTAAGTGACGAGCATCCCACCGAGTTTCAGGCTATCCTGGGCTACAGAGTAAGACTTGGTAAAAAACAAATAAAAGTTACATTTGTTACTTCATCAATGGAACTGAGTAACATCTTACAGACCTTGAGTAAAGACTATTAACATTTTTTAATTTTCTTGGTGCCCATGCCCAGTGCTGCTCAGGTCCTCCTGTTATCTTTTATTGTCTGAGTGTCCAAACAACCAAGACATGTCCAGAAAGGTGTGCTTCTGGCACAATTTAACTTTGACTTGACATTACAGTTTTCTGGCCCCACCTGATGGGCGTAGGCCAATGGTAGGGTGTCTTCAAGCTATTGAGGCGGTTTGTGAAGCATCGAGGTGCCCAACACCCCCGAGCATGGTGTTTTCAAGCTCAGTTCTATTCCTGTCAGAAGGTTTTCTGTGAGCAGAACCCGGTGTCCTGGCCACTGCACGCAGTGGCGTCCGCTCGTCCCCTTTTAAGGAAGAGACTTTTTTTAATCTCTGACACCTATAAGAGCCAAAGTTTGAATTTATAAGGCATCATTTTGGGGTTCCTGGCACATTTGACCTGGCTAACTACAGCCAGAAGAAAATAAAAGGTCTCCGTGTTTTAAAGGAGTCTGAGCCATGTGGGAATTTGCATTCTTAAGTCAGTGCTAATATTAGAGGGGAGAGTGACACCGGCCAGATGCAAAGTCGGTTCAGAACTGAATTGTGCCCATCATGACCCCTTCTGTCCCCGTCTGGTCCTTTTGTTGTTGTTTGAGACAGGGTTTCCCTGGGTAGCCCTGGCTGTCCTGGAACTCACTCTGTAGACCAGGCTGGCCTTGAACTCACAGAGATTTGTCTGCCTCTGCCTCCCGAGTCGGGTGCTGGGGTTAAAGTGGTGTGCCACCACGACCCAGCTCACATCTGGTCCTTTCTATTCGACTTTGGAAATGATTTACATCTTATTTTAAAGCAGGAAAAATGCTCTTCGCCTCTATATTAGGGGTTTATTTTTGTAAGCTGTTTTGTTTGTTTTTTAATGTGGTTGGGGATGAGATGGGGCTGTGTGTATGTTGGCAGGCTTGCTACCACTGAGATGTAGCCCAGCCCCTGCAATAACTCTAAAAGTGACAGCCATACATCTATCCGGGCTCTGAAACCTGAAGCAGTTTCAAGATTCTGGCAATAATTTCACAAGGGCCTGTGAGGTGTCTTTTTTTTTTTTTTTTGGTCAGTGTTTTGCTATGTAACCCAGGCTAGCTTTGAACTCCATCCCTCTGCCTCAGCTTGCGATTGCTGAGACAAAGATAATATTTTGAAGCAGTGACTGGCTCTTGGCAGTTACAAAGGTGGCACAAAGAGGACCCCATGCCCTCCCCAAGGCCCCAGCAGCCAATACCTCACAGTCTCAGAAAGAGGAGGCTGACCCAACCCACCTGTTTTCAATGCACATTAATTTTGTAATTTGTATTTCATTCGAGTAACTTTGCTGTCACAGTGTATCTAAAGTCAACCATCCTGGGGCCCCTTCAGGTGATCAGCCTGCTGGGTAAAATGGAGGGCTTTCCCTCGGGTTTGTGGAAGTTGGGGTAGAGAAGCATCAGTTTGGATGTGTATCTGTGGTCACAATCTTAAGTGTGTTGCTCAATTGAACCTTAGCATCCTAACAGAAGAACGAGACCAACGCTGACGACCCTGAATGACACTCTGTAGTTTCCATCTCCTCAGTGGTGAATAATAGAAATTCCTATGACCCTGAATGACACTTTGTAGTTTCCATCTCTTCAGTGGTGAATAACAGAAATTCCTTCCATAGTTTGCTGTTAAAAAAGGGAAACTAGAGGTGTGGTTAAGGGAAGATGGCTCAGCAGACACAGGAATTTGTCCCCAAGCCTGATGAATGAGAGTGCTATCCCTAGGACTCATGTGGTTGAAAGAAAGGACCAACTTCCAAAAGTTGACCTCTGACTTTCCTACGCCGTGGCACATGTGCGCACGCACACAAAACACACAGAACTCGATGTAAGAAACTAGAAAGCAGGGCGGTGGTGGCGCACACCTGTAACTCGGGAGCCAGAGGCAGGTGGATCTCTGTGAGTTCGAGGCCAGCCTGATCTACAGAGTGAGTTCCAGGCCAGCCAGGGCTACATAGTGAGACCTTGTCTCAAAACAACAGAAAATAAATAGAGTGAGAGCTAAGCTGTATTTTTCCTGTTATTGGGAAGGAAGAGCTGAAATTAACAGCCACCTGGGAGCTTCTGCCAGCCTGGGGGGGGGTGTTGCCTTCCCACCTAGCCCCTCCCAAACTCTGCCCTCCTGCCTCCAACCCCTGTGGGTCCAGTTGAGTCCCAGAGACTCAAAGCAGCTCTTGGATTTTTGGGAGGGGGGCGGGGTTCCAGACAGGGTTTCTGTGTAGCCCTGACTGTCCTGGAAGTTGCTCTGTAGACCAGGCTGGCCTCAAACTCAGAGATATGCTTGTCTCTGACTCCGGGATTAAAGGTGTGTGCCAGCACTGCCAGGCTGCATCTTGGCGATTTTTATAAAATAATACCAGGACGCTTTCTGTGTGTGTGCAGTATCTGTGACATACTTAAACATTGCCAAAACGCTAGACTACTCGAGCCTCTTGGGGCAGGGTTTCTCTTTACATCACTTTCAGTTGAACGTGTCTATAATCCTGCACCGCAGGGCATATTTGTATATATTGCAATTTGAAAACAACTAAACAGATTCTTCGAACAGTGTTGTTTTAGTCTTTTACCTGTTTTGTTATTCTTCTGCCTAACCACTTTTTGTTTTTATAACTACTGGGGAGGCCACTGGACTCTTGCGCTGTAGCTAGGTTCCCCCGGCTGGCTGCTGCACACTTGAGTTTATTGTCCCCCCTGGGCTCTGAGTAAGTTGCTCGAATACAGCTGTCATGATTGTTTCTCTCTATTCTCTCCTAAGAGAAAAGAATCTCTGCCTGTCATCCCCCAGTTGTGCCCTCATGTCTGCCTAGCTAATAAATGTTATGATTTTTCTCAGTGCTGTGTATTTTAAGTGATTTTTCTCTGTAATAAATATGTAACTCCTTCATCTCTGGTACTGAGGAATTTTCCAGCCAAATACTGGTTGTTGGTTTGTTTTTTTTCCCAAATAATTCTGCCTCCCTGTTCTTACCCTTCCTGTCCTCAGGGCTTGGAGCATCTGCTTTTCCTGTGTCTTCCCTCGCCTCTGGCAATGGAGAGCTTTCGCTGCGCAATGAGGCCAGGCAGCCCTGGGCCCCTCTTCCCAAAGCAGCCCATCCTTACTGCAGAGAGACCTACAGTTGCAGTGGGAGAGAGAATTTGCCCTTCAGCTTCCTCACACCATCCTGGACAAATTGATCTTTTGGTCCAGAGATGGGGCCAGCTAAAGAAGGGAATTAAAAGTCATGCCAGAGAGCCGGGAGTTGGTGGCACACGCCTTTAATCCCAGCACTAAAAACCAAAAAAAAAAAAAAAAAAAAAAAAGAGTCATGCCAGAGTGTGGGAAGTAGGAACAGAAGGACGAGAGTTCAAGGTCATCTTCAGCTATATAGAGAATCAGAGGTCACCCTGGGCTACATGATAGCCTGTCTCAAAAACAAAAGATTATAAGCCTCGAAAGCTCTCCATGGTAGAGACACTCTGGTAACCAGTTACTCAAATCCCTGCCCTTCCCCACACGGCAAACGGCTTGCCTCTCACCTACAGCTTTCTCTAACCCGGGGCTTTTCTTCTTTCTTTTTGTGTTATAGGTTCCTAAAGGCAGTGCACTTGACCAGACTTCCCCTGTGAGCCTACCCAGGAGCCACCATGGTCCAGCCCATTTGTCCCCACAGGCCTCCAGCGCCACCCAGGCTGACTGGGCATCCCCCAGCTCATTTGCAGGCTGGGTCCCCGCGCCCCTCCCCCTTCTCTTCACAGCATGCTCCCGAGGCTCGCCATCCCCTCTGCCCATTGTATCGGCAGGGGCATTTCTCCTCCTCAGCCCCACACAGGGGTTGTCCGCCTCAGCCCAGTGCCCACCACGTAGGCCACAGAGACAGCTGGACGTGTGCCCATATCCCTATTCCTTCCGGGCTCCCAGTCCACCCACAGATCGCCTGGCCAGTCCTTGCACATTTCACACCGTGCCTTCTGTCAGCCGTTGCCACCGGTTTCCTGGGTGACTACCAGAATCCAGACAAGGAGGGCCAGTCATGCATCGGGTGGACTGAGCACCCACCTGTCTCCCATGTGTCTCCTGGGACATCAGCAGATGTGTCCTTCTCTCCAGAGGCTGCTGCCTCTGCCCCTCCTGATCATCCGTCCTCCAACACCTCAGCACCGACACCTTCCACATTCACCCCAGTGGGTCTGTGGTGGGACTGGGGCATCCAGCCCCGCCCACCCCCACCTTGGTTCTAAACCGTCTACATGGCCCAGGAAGATCCACACTGACGTCCCGACTCCAGCTTGTGGGCCCACTTTGCCTGTGTCTACCTTCCGTGAGCACTGTCCACCCGTCATGGCACCCTGTGACGGGGGCCTCACCCACTAGCTCATTGCTGTAAGGTGGACCTGCTGAATCCCATAGGTAGCATTTGAGGACTCTACTATGTTCCTCACCAAAGCCCTTGTGCCTCTTGTGGTCCCTCTGGCGGCTCTGCAGCCACCACTCCTGCATTTGATCCTGGAAGCCCCGTAGAATGGATGGAGTGTGCTTTTGAAGCTGTTTTCCTCCTCGGATGGATTTTTGCTTGAGAACCAAGATGGTCATTGGCACCTTAGAGGCACACAGCTTCTCTCCCTTCCCGGTACAGAAGCACTCAAGACTTGGCCTCGAGCCCCTGCGAAGGGCACCCCGTTAGCACGAGCTTGAGAAACTTGGCATCCTCCTCTGGGCAGCTGGTAGCCTGGCATCATGTCAGAGGATCAAAGACATGGGAGTCTTACAAAGACCACAGAGATGGGTACACAGACAGAAAGGACAGGTCCTCGGGGTCTGGCCTGGGCTTTGTCTAGAGTTTGTGGAAATGCAGACATTCTCGGTAAACTGGGGCTGGCAGACTACCCTGCAGAACAGCACTGCCAACTTCACAGCAGAGGGCGGGTATCAATCAGGGTGGGGAGCACGGCAAGGGCCTGCCCTTGGGTTTCAAGAGCAAGCAAGGATCAGTTCTCTGACTTTCTCTACCCCTCTTCCTCCCAAGCAAGGCCAGGCCCAGGGTCCTGCACACGGCCCTCTAGGGCCCCCATGAAGCTGTTCCACAAACCACGGTTTCTGTTCCCTGTAGCAGGTGTGCTCTTAGTCACATGAGGAAGGCTTAGTGAACAAGAGGGAAGTCTGGTATCTGACTGTGACTGTCGGGGCCTCAGCTCCAATACGGTTAATGGGACTGGGGTCCCTGCAGCCCCGCTTCAGCGGTCACCAGGCACCTATCCCCAGAACCTCGGATTTTCACCAAGTTGGGCTGACCACCGTCCCCTCCATGAGGAAGCTAAGTGGTTTTTACAGATCTCGGTAACGGATGAAGGACGTGTCTCCCATCTCTAGGGTCAAGAAAGACTGTTACCACAAAGGTAAAACGGATTAGCTGCCAATCCAAGACTCTGCCCGTTTCCCTTCGTTTCTAACTGCCTGTACTACCTACGTCCAGAAAAGATGGAGGACGAGCGTCTTCCAGCCTGTTCTCTGAGATGCACGCTCTGCTGTGGGAATCCTGTGGAATCTTACCGGTTGTGGGGGGAGGGTGCAGGTTTTCCCAGGGAGCTCTACACTCCCTCTTCCCCAGGACCCCACTGCCTGTCATCCCTAGCTGCTAGTGTGCTGTTACAAGAATGACTCACTGTAAAAGAACCTGCCCTGCAAATGACTTAGAGACGAAAATAAAAGGAACTTGACATTTATCTGTTTTTTTTTTTTCTATGCAGGCTATGAAGCTGTAATGGCTCCTCCCTCTAGGCTGAGCGGCTCAGCCAGTGGGATCAGCCCAAATGTTGCACAGGGGGCTTCTAATGTCTTCTGGTGACACCTGTAGTGATAGAATGTTCACACAAAGTCAAGCAAGTTCTGTTCCTGCCAGTGATTTTCCAGAAGCTGCAGCCTGGTGTTTCTTTTTGATTTTTGTGTCCTGTATGTATAACATTCAGAATGTTTCCAATAATGGTTCCAAGCTCTCTTTTAACATGACATCAAATCAAGCACCTTTTAAAACATGCAGTGTGTGTGTGTGTGTGTGTGTGTGTGTGTGTGTGTGTGTGTGTGTGTGTGTGCCAGTGAGCTGCACTAATTCTTAGCCTTGAGGGCATGGCACTGGGAAGGCCTTCACAGCTGTCAAGTCCTGGACTAGCCTGTGTCTCTGGAGGTGGAATTAAACCAAACAAAGTGCTTTCATTAGAAGGCTACTCTCAACCTTGTAATTAAATGTGAGTCCTTTCAATGTTAAATAAAATGTAACTTCTGGCGTACAGTCACCGCTTCTCTGGTTGCATGAAGAGATGACTCTGGGGCTGGGGAGATGACTACATGGGAAAAATGCCTACTGAGCAAGCACGGGACCTGTGTTCAATTCCCCGCACCCACATAAACAGCTGGGCACAGAGTGAGAGCAGCGCCCTCAAATGGGGCGGGGCAGGTGAGTCCCAGTCACCAGCTGGACTGGTCATCTATGAGACCTTGTCTCGAAAATTACAGACACGCATGCCATTAACCCTGGTCCAGGACAGCCTCCAAAACAATACAGAGAAACCCTGTCTCGAAAAGCCAAAAAAATAATTTAAAATAAAAAAAAATATTGAGTCCCAGACCAACCTAAGTTACACAGGGACTTGTCTCTATCAAATTAAGATAGTGATAAAGGGTAACATACAATGCTGTTGATCTGGTCTCCTATACATGTCAACATGTCAGCTGTGAGCAACCCACAAGCTTGAACACACACACACACACTGTAGTCACAGAAGCTCCCAGGGCTGATAGCTGGCATCTGTTCTTTTCTGTCATATAAACTTGAGGAATCATGACTACTCAGGGACAGGCTAGGGACCTACAGGGACCTACTTAACTATGTCACTCCCGGTCCTAAAGGCCATCACATCACAATGACATGTCCTATTTAAGAGTAGCAGACGGGGGGGGGGGGGGGCAGCATGTGCAGGGTTTGACTCCTTAGCAAGTGAGGATCAGGGTTTGACTCCTTAGCAAGTGAGGATTTTCGTTTTTGTTTGTTTGTTTTTGGAGACAGGGTTTCTCTGTGTAGTCCCGGCTGTCCTGGAACTCACTCTGTAGACCACCAGGCTGGCCTTGAACTCACAGTGGATGGAAGTGGCTTCCACGAAAGCAGCTACCAGGAAGCTAACATTAGGACCAAACTTCTAAACAAGAAGCGGTAGTGGATATGGGGGTACACAGCTGAAATCCTAGCACCCAGGAAGTGGGCACCGCTCAAGGCTGGTCACTCTGTAGAGACTGTGTATTGGGGAGAACCAGGTGACAGGTGTTAACAAAAGGCTAATTTTGGAACACCATTTCCAGAATGTTCTTTAAGGACTTGGTTCCCTCAGGAAGGAGTTTGTGGACCATAGCCTGACATCTTCGCAGCTCCTCAGAACCGTCCTTGGCTGGGAGCTCTGAGCCCCAGGGTTAGACACCCTTACAAGACAGGCAACATGGCTACAAACCAGGAGCTAGGCTGTGGCTCCTGCCCTGGCACTGGGGTTGCAGAGAAGTTACTAAGTCACAGAATCAGGACAGCCACACACCCTTGGGTTGGGTGTCTCCTGTATTCTGGAAATACCAGCTTGCCCTGGCCACACCCAGGCCTCAGGCGCCTTGTTAGGGAAGTGGCGACCCCTAGTGGAAGAAGGCGTAACTGGGATAGCATCCCTAACCTGCAACTATGGAGGACGCATAAGAGCCTGGGGGTGGGGTGGGGTGGGGAGCATCTACCTCCAATGTCAGAGCTGCATGCGTGCTTACAGTAAAATTCTAGGATTGTGAGAGCCTCAGGGCAGGGCAGCCCCCCCAAGTCTCACTGTTA